ATCAGAATAGAGCTGGAAGGGACCTTGGAGGTCATCTAGTCCAGCCCCCTGCTCAAGCAGGAGTCCCTATACCATTGCAGACAAATAGTCATCCAGTCTCTTCTTAAAAAACTCCAGTTTTGAAGGAGCACCCATAATTTCTGTTGGCAAGTGGTTCCACCTTTAATTGTTCTCAGTGTCAATATATTTCTGCTTAGTTCTAGGTTGCTTCTCACACTTGATTAGTTTCCATCCATTGCTTGTTGTCCTGCCTTCTGGTGCTTTGGAGAATAATTTGACACCCTCCCTCTTCTTTGTGGCAGCCCTTCAAATACTGGAATCCTGCTATCATTTCCTTCTTTTCTCTAGACGGACCATATCCAAATCCTGCAACCGTTCTTCCAGCAACGGTTTTAGTCTCCATGTCTTTAATCATCTTAGGTGCTCTTCTCTGCATTTTTCCCAAAACTCTCGACATCTTTTTTTGTAACCCGTTGACCAAAAAACTGGATGCAGCAATTCCAGGTGTGGCCTTACCGAGTCTTTATAAAGCGGTACTGATCCTTCACGTAATTTTGATTCTGTGCCTCTATTTACACAACCAAGGTAGATAGAGAAGCAGCATTTGGCCAGATCTACCTGTAATTTCTTTGCCTTCTGTGTCTATGAAGATTCTCCGTCGTTCAGCTCACCGTCGTCTCACAAGTGGTTTTGTACGTTTAGTTTAGTTTACTTTATTGTCATTGCGCCTCGTACAGCGAAATCAAACACCATCTTCAGGGCACATGAAAATCAACACAAACACACATCCTTAACACTCCACACATTGAATTGAAAACCCCTGATATTCGATTAATATTGCACTAGACAGTAGAATTCAAGAGAGCTCCTGCCCTGGGATAGAAGCTGTTTTTCAGCCTATTTCTCTTGGTTTTTATTATTATCCTGTACCGTCTGCCAGGTGGTAATAGTTCAAAAAAAGGGGTTCCCAGGATGAGATGGATCTTTGAGGATGTTTTGGACTTTCTTAAGGCAGCAGGAGCTCTAAAGCTCTTCCAAAGTGGGGAGAGGGCAACCCATGATCCCCTGGGTTATGACGTTAACCCTCTGGAGTGCTGTCCTATCTTCCCCTGTGCAATTGGCAAACCATACAGAGGTGCAGTAAATTAAGATACTCTCTATGGTGCAGCGGTAGAAGGTCTCCAGCAGTTTTCCATCCAGTTGTTGTTTCCTGAGAAGCCTCAGGTAGTATAATCTCTGCTGGGCCCTTTTGACCAGGGCTGCAATGTGGGCACCCCAGGTCAGGTCCTCTTTTAGGGTAACACCAAGAAACTTAAAACTGGCCACTTACTCCCCTCGGTCTCCATGGATAAGTGAGGGCTGGATGTCTGACCTGTTCCTTCTATATAGTCCACTATAAGCTCCTTGGTCTTATTGGTGTTGAGGATCAAGTTATTGTCTCCACACCATTTTGAAAAGGCAACCAGACCAGGGGTGGGATTCAGCCAGTACGGACCGGTTTGGGCAAACCTGGCGATGAGTTGGCTCTGTCCACCTACCCCTGCGCTTGTCTATTTCCTCTGTTTGAAGCCCAGCTGATAGGTGTGGGCCACAAAGCAGGACAGATTGCCGTTCCTTTCAGCTCTTTTACTCACTGGGCCTGCAGTGATAAGGTAAGTTCTAGAGCTGTTTTCAAACAGCCCACGAACGTGCTTTGTTGGAGAATCTGATGTATGACACATCCAGGCAGGAGGGAGTGGAAACAGGGTCCCAGGTGACTCTGAATTAATCGCACGTGTCAGAGTGGGCTTGCTGTCAGAGTTCCAGGAATAAAAAGAATCCAAAAGATTTATTCGGAGCAACATGTTGGCATTATCCCAGTTGAAGCACGTGTAATTCACGGTCACCTGTTTCCCGCCTCCCCCACCGGGTGTGTCATAAATCAGATTCTCTAACAAAACACCTTCCTGGGCTGAGTGTCATCAATCACACTCTCCAATGAAGGATTTTCGTGGGTAGAAGATCCAGTAGCCTAGCTACAATCTTTGTAAGAGAAGTGTGGAATGGACTTCGGGTTCCTCCCTCCCTCCCTTGCTTACGGCAACTCAGAAACAGGCATGCTTTATGAGTTGACATGTACCGGGTTGTTACCTTAGTTGAATCCCAGCACTGAACCGGACTGAAATTTTTTGAGGAAGAAAAAAACATTTCGCTTCCCGTCCTAGTCGCTTCGTCAATGGTTATTGGATGGAGTGGGAGATGGAAGGACCGTTATTGACAGTTATTAATTGGTGGGGGGTGGATGAAATGGTAAGTTTTACGTAGCCAGCTTTTTTCTTTATTAAAAAAAAAGAAGGTTTAGATCGTATTCCCCAATCACTCTGAGCCTCATTGTCCGATCTGCCAGCTGGGGAAAGGGCGAATCTTAGCGGGATTTGAATCTTAGCCCCCGTTGCTTTTCACGTGCGGTCTAGAGATGGAACTAAATAAAGGGTTTTTTTTTTTTTCTTTTCTTTTCACGAGTTCAAGTGTGAAAGGAAGAGGGCGGAGGCTCTGGGCAGCCCTCCCCCTGTGCTTTTCAAAACCTCTGATGGGAATCCTGAGCGTAAATGGGGTAAAAGGAGAGTTTAGCTTGGCAGCTTCCGTGTTTGATTATCTCCCGGAATGAGATCGCGCGCTTCGGTTTGTCAACATACGGCTGAGGACACGGAGTTCAGGCCCGTTCAAGAGGCCGCAGCTCGGATTGAGGCTGCCGCGAATGCCATGATGTCATGGCCTTCTCCTTTTCCTTCCGTCAATATTTATCCTCTGGGGTCAAGAGATGAGAAGTGGGATTTCAAAAAGGAGAGGGTTTTTTTTTTTTTCCTCTCTTTTCTCTCTCTCTCTCTCTCTCCCTCCCCCTCAGCCTTTTGCAACCGTTTGGCTCCCGCTGCTTTTTTTTGCAAGATTAAAAACTTTTGTTCCCGACGATTGATGGCCTGGTTTTTGACTCGACGGGCCCGCAGCCGTCTGCCTAAGAGCAGCGTTGCTTAACTTCGGTCTCTTTAAGTCGGATTATGAGGCTGTCTTAGACTTAGAATAACCTTATTGTCCATTTGAATGTACAGTAATCGGCATGCGTTAAAATGAAATGTTCAAAATTAGGCACTGGCTAGAGGAAATAACCATGGAACAAATTGAGTACAAACCAGAGTCCTTTCTTCTAGGAATTTTTGATAAACAAATATCCAAAAAATCGAAGTATATTACAATCCATATCTTAACCGCGGCCAGACTGGCATTTGCCCAGTGCTGGAAACTACCCTCTATCCCCACTGAACTTATGGTTATTCAGAAAATCTTACAATGCGCCGAAATGGACAAACTAACCCAAGCATTAAAAAATAAAGAATCTTCAACCTATTATAGCAATTGGAATCCTTTGTACATTTGGCTTAATCAAAGATAGATCACCTCTAAGAAAATTAAGGCCGAGGCCTCCGAGGCAGAGATAAAGAAAAGCACTGCCGACAATAGTTTGGAAGAAGAAAAGACCTTACAGACAGTCACAAAAATATGGTTTTATTATAATTGTTTTCTCTACTTTTGTTTTCCCCACTTTCCCCCCCCCCCCCCCC